AATTGTGTAAAAACAGAAGCTATCACGCACTCTTGTATTGAAAATACAACCGCACAGTGGCGTTTAACGTCCGGAACTGAATACAAGAAATCTACACCATCTGCAGCATAGCATGAAATAATATATATCGAAGAAGCAATTATGTACGCGCGTACGTTTACGTACATATATCACAACAAGCAATGTAAGCCAGACAAAAGCCAAACACAAACCACCAGCATTCAATTCGTATACAACAAGTAACTCTTTTACACAGGCAGAAAACAACAAACAGAGAGAGAGAGAGAGAGAGTGAGAGAGCAAAAAATTAATAATATAAATACTCTGATATCAAGAATACGAAGGAAAGATAGTTTTCGGGTACCCTATATCGATCTAATGAAAATCAATTTACTCGTCATACAACTGACGTAAAGTTAGCCCACTATACGTAGCTCACATACTTGTCTTTTGCTGAAAAGTGGGCTGTCTTCACACTTGCTGCGCGCATCTGCGAAGGCAGAGTCTAATGTTTAAATTTTCTATAAATAATTTAGTATCTTATGTATATGGAGCGGGCGTGTTTGTGGCCTTTTTGGTGGTAAAAAAATTCGTAAATTAGTAATGGAATTCGGGTGTTCTGTTAGATTTCATTACGGATCTACGGATCGTCTTTGATATTGTTATAACTTGAGTTGGACATTGCATTCCTGGGTTTCGTGATCGTAATTAAAAGCTTTTGTTTTATAGATGCACGGTTCCTAATATTTTCTAATTTTAATACTTATTCGACTGGTTTGATCTTTACTTCGTGATAAACTGTAACCTAGCAAAGATTTTTTAGCAAAGAGCCTTGAAGATGTGCGTCACCTTCACTTCGGTGTTATATATGCATATGGCACATCACTCAACAAGTCTCCGATCTGGCATATATATGGCATCGCGTTTTGCCGGATCCATATGACTTCGGAATAGAACAGACCTTCAAACACCACATTTCGACAATTTGATTATGGATCATAGCGACATTAGTGTAGCAAAATTTTGAATTTATTAAACATGAGAAACAATATCGTTAACAATAATCATTGGCTTGGAAGATTTGACGGCGATCACGACTGTCGAAAAAATTAATTTCTGGGTGGTTCGCTATGAACACGATTGAACACCGATTCTTCTTCGACCGAAGACAATCGAAAAAAGTGCACGAAATCGTTCTCGGAGATAAAAAAATTACGCTGCTTGGGATTGAACGTTTGTCTATGAGAAAAGTCTATTCGATGTGGGAGCAGCGTTTGCTTTTGCCCAAAAGCAACATATTTTTAGACCCGTTGAATACTACCCCACAACAACAAACGAGAAAACGGGATAATACATAAAACGTGGATTCATTACTGCATCTCAGAAGTCAAATCGGCAATCACTCGAGTGGATCGCAATTTTATATACTTACTTAACAGCGGTCGTATTAGCAATTGTTTTAATCCATATTGACTCCTCTCTATGTATGCGACAAAAGAGAGCGTGTTTGAATGACGAAATTACAAGACAAAAACACAGATAGTCAGACCCGAGATTTATTGAGTGATATGGTACAGATATAATTTCATATCAGATATAAACTAGTAGGATCTAATTGATAATTGGGTAGAACATATTCCACTTAACCTATATATTGTTTGCGCGTAGTGCAACTTAGTCCACTTTAAAGCTTAAATAAATCAAATTAAAGTAAGGAGTTGAACAAACTAACAGATAGGAAGAGAGAAAAACCATTGATTTATCAGGTATATGAAATAAGTCTTACATTACAAACGTTTAGTATATCTGATGAATCCATTGCGATATGTACGACCAATTTTAGAGCTCTCTTTTTCAATTTGCTTGCTCTCTGTTTTTGTATCTTTTCTTACATTTCGTTTGCATGAACAGCTCATAAAAAAAAACAGACGAAAACAAGGTTTCCATGTTCCTTTTACTCTTTTCGTTTTGCTACTAGGTGTATATACACACATATATTCGTATCTATGGAGAGAGAGAGAGAGAGAGAGAGAGAGAGAGGAAGCGTTCCATGTTCCATTGTTTTGTATTTAAAAATAAGTGAGTGCTTTATTAATAGCTGGAGATAAGCATATAATGCGACGAAACAAAATAGCGACCAACTGTGAGTAATATATCTTTGGTTTTCGTAGGTGCGAAATATATTCCAATTATTACTAATGTTACGCCTTGTAACTGTCGGTACATTACTTTTTTATCCTTTATGAATTAACACTAAGATGTTTTCCCAAGTGGCCGCTTCAATCTTTGTTAGTTTTACAGCAGATATATATATAGATATCTTTTCTGGATAGTAAATATTTCCGATGATGAAAAAACAAGCTAGAGATGCCCCATTCTATATATTAAATAATCTAAAAAATATTAAGCTTTCAAGAAGTCAGAAGAAGCTCTTTAATAATTATTTAATTTCCGTACGTAAAGCCTTAATATGACAATCAATCTGCAGTTCCAATTAGATTTGATAGTAGAATTATTCATTACTCTGTTCCTGAGTGACGAAATAAAATATTTTCTAGAACACATTATTAGCAACAACAATAACAAGTCAACATTTATTGGCTTTAGCAAATACTTAAAGTAGGCATTAAACATATGAAAATATGGTCCTGTGTGCATTTACACATCATCAACATCATATTATTAATAAAAGGCAAAGTGTAACATTTTAATAGGACACTAATAAGACAGGAAGCATAACATTTTCCTGTTTGGTACGTTGCGCAAAGAGCTTTTTTTTGCTATCGTACACTTTTGTATAGAAAACTGAGCAAAACATAGACAGGAAAATCGAAAAGATAGAAATAGACGCACACTACTCAGCACAAGGAAGATTTATTAGCGAAACACTAAGCAAGAGAATGAAAGAGCATATCAAGGAGAGAAGCCGACAGAGAACAAGAGAGACAAAAATAATAAAAATTTGCTACAGTGAAGTTTTCTCCCAAATCGTATTTTCTTATCGAATTATTTTTCAATTACTCTCAGATGTTACCAAATTTATGTTTATTGCACTTAAAGTTTGCAGACTCGTTTTTTCAATACAACAGCTGTTAACAACTAAAGACTGGCTCTTTGAATTATTCTCAATTGTAAACAAATACAAACTAACTTGTACAATTATTAATCGTATTATTGTGTAGTTTGCGAGAGACGGTAACTGGATTTTCTCATCCAAACGAATACTGGGAGAGATTCAGCTTTAATATTCCCAACAATTTCTAAATCAAAACAACTAAGCCTCTAATCTGCTTCCATAAGCAATTCCTTGTAAAAGGAAAACAAAACAATTCCCATTATTTCAATCAAGCACTGCAAGCTATGGCTTTTTTACTGCCAGTTCACTGGTCTTCTCTGAACTTATTTTAATTCGGTAAATCCGAACACACTTAAAATTCTTTTCTAAGAAGAAAGTGCTAACAAACCTTGTAAGAATACATATGAAGAACCCACAGTATATTTTATATTTAAATGAAGAATACACAAAAATCTTATCTCTCCTACCTTACCACCATACCAAATTGTTATGAATAATGAAGAACTAATCTTGAATAATAAGCGTGGACCATATGTCATACCTCCAATATGGATAGAAACGAAGAGAGCTTACGGAATCGTAAGAATAAGAAAAGTCAAAGTTGCATCACGACTTACTTCACCTTCTACATTCAATTATTCTCTTGATTGGAAATGCCAATCCTGACGGGGGAAGGAACCAGCTTATATATTTCCTTACATTGAGTTCCTAGGCCGCTCCATCGTATAAAAAATACAAGGGCATTTATAAACTAATAGTGTGCCTTTGATGACTTTGATCCTCACAACATGCACTGTTCAGAAGAATCCCTTCTATACTCTCCGCTTTCGGTATCCTTACTATAGAACAAATAAATTCTGTTAGCTTCAATCACAAGTTATTTAACTACTTCATTAGATCATATATAGCAAGCCGCTTCAATGCATAATTTGACTGAATTACCAACACAGCTAACGAAGCGAATGTTAAATTATTATTCGTGATCATCCCCGTTTTGCTAGATCGCACCGTGGAAGTTTAAACATTTACACAATTAGGGCTTATTCAGCCAATGTTTGCTTTGCATATATCGTCAGTATTTATATAGGGAACTTATCATTATTTTACTTACACTAGATACTAGAAAATATAACTCCGCGGTGCGCTTGTTCACGCCTGATAATCACCGAACAAGCATGAAACTCATATGAAAATCTAAAGAAGAAGAATCGGGCCTTAAGTCCAGAAGTCGCCTTTTTGACTTCTAGAAAAATTGACTTTTCTCAACTGATGGCAAGTATTGTCAGCTGAGATGCTCCGTGGTCAATCACTGTCTACTTAATCCCAACTTGCTGCTACCTACTGCTACTTATTATAGCTTAAGTCTAACTTAATTCTAGCACGTCCCACCCAAACAGAGAATATTTGAAATCAAACTAAGAGACGATTTTGAGTCTTAACAGAATTTAGTTAATTTGTTTCCACTTAAACAACTTAAATGACTATATCTAATTATAAAAGACTAAGCTTAGCGAAGTACATGAGTCATAACAATTATTAAACGCTGTGTCAAAAAAATTAAATTATATAATAAAATTATTTTTAATTATTAACCCGACAGTGTTTTATGTTTTGATTGCTTTTCTAAACTTTTTTTAAAGTACAGTGTTTATTGCGAGCAGAGTCTACCATAGAGGCCTTTGTATTCTCGTTAAATTGCTGTCTACGTGAAACTTCAAAGCAAAATGATGCGTTATTTCTATCTTAGGGATGCGACTTCAACTTTACCGACTTGTTACGAGACTTTTATATAAAGACACAAAACAAACCGAAAAGAAC